ACAGACAGACAGACAGACAGACAGACAGACAGACAGACAGACAGACAGACAGACAGACAGACAGACAGAAGACAGACGCGAGTGCTTTATATATAGTAAGGATAACTTAGGACTTTATGACCTGAGGTACCAGCGATGAATGCAAGATCACGAGGGCATCACTGTATAAGTAATTAGGCCAACCTTTTAACTTCTCAAGCTCCATATAAGTGAGCTGTCGGCGGGGCGCATTCTTTGGATCCTGATCACCTTCGGCCGTATCAGAGCGATATTTGGGATAGTGAATGAGTACCATATCAATGTAGCTTGAAATACATTGGTTGAGCTGACTTTTCTGTTCTTTTGGAACATTTACCTACTTAGTTTTAAGATTGGCTAAAGATTCATCAATTAGTTTTCGGACGTTAGCCGCCTTTTCGTCTGTATCGGGCAAGATCTTCGTAGTAATGAAGATGTCGGCGCGTGTCACACCATGCTTTGGCATTAGTTCCTAAAATTATTGCTTCACTCCCGACAAGGCTAAAACTAAACTGAACCTTACAGCTAGCGCAGCTCCCAACTCGGGTTCATTCTTGTAGAGTTTGGCTGTATCAAACATACGGTAGCCATTGCTCAGTGCCGCATCCACGGACGGTTTCACCTAAATTTACACCTTGGAGCCAACAAAGCTTTTACTACAACTCACTTCAGTAATTCATCAAACGAATTGGGAAATTTCCAGTTGTTCAGCACACCCACGTCATTTCCAGTAATCAGGTAGGTCCCCAGACCTACTAGAGGTATATAGAACCCTGTGTTAAGCTTGAATGAGCCTCCTTTTGCGTTTTGAAGAGAAGACATTCTGAAAAGATAAGATTCAAAGAAGGCTATGAAGTACTTTTTGCAATATCTGAATAGCAAATCTAAGATATGAAAACAGCTGATTTTCGAATTGGGGTAATCATTCCCATATCACTTCACTGCAAGAGAACAGAGTAGAGAGGGAAGGTGAGGAAGAGGAAGGGGATGCTACGGCTGATTGTAAGTTGGAAATCCTAGAAACTTGTATGGGTATGTCGATAGTGATAAGAAATTGTCAATAGTCCCAGGTAAAGAAGCGTGCCCAATTGCCATTCAAGGCAATTTTATTTTTCATGCCATCTTGTCCTAGATAGTGAGCACTCTGAGGAGACGCTAGATACTGGTCGGGTAGTCTTTTAAATTATCTACTAGACTTAATTCCAACCATTTCACGAAACGAACGGTCTTAAAAAGCAAGTCACGAAGCATCTCCAACCACTAGCTGTCGACAGCATTGGGCAGCTCATCTTTCCACAGATGTGCTTTGTAGAATTAGTGCCTTTCCGACATCCTTCCCCTTGAATCTTTTTTCGTTTGAGTGGCAGTGAAGGGGATTGAAGAAAAAGCAATCTGAGGGCTGAGAAGGTTCGGGCCTCAGGCAGGACATTTGAGGCAGCTTGAGGGATTACCAGCTAGCTTCGCTTTCTAGGTCCTTTTGCACCGAACTCCTCGTGTGTGTTATGAAGTTGTCGTGGTGAAGCCTCTGATTTCGGTCTGTACTCCACGTCAATATGTATGGGTCTTGAATCTTCTATGTTGACGGCAGTCGGCTCGAACACTAGTAAATTTTGACTTAGGAATTTCCGATGCTCCATCCAGGAGCTTGATACAGAAGAGGAACCTTTTTGGACATCATGTTTGGGCTTCGCCATCGTATCGAATTCTTTCTCCTAGTTTACCCACACTCCCCTCCTCACGGAGTTCTCGACATGAACATTCCTCATCTCAAGCACTTATCACGCTGAGGACGTTCAAGCTCTGTTGTGGATAGAGAAGAGAAAGAATGTGCTTGGTACTCCTTCGCGGAAGCAAGATGGCAGCTCGCTGGATATCCATTGCTCAAGCTTCTAGATCTTATCTTCCTCGCTTCTGGAGTGGTGATGGTATGGTGCATGACGAGTATGGTCGATAACTCTAAATATACTCGCCTCCACTGCATTATTTGGTTCCTTTCCACGTCCACACGCCTACCCTACACCCGCAAATCAGCCAGCAAATAGGCATTTTTAAAATTCGTGAAACAAACCGCACATGTGTTAAACAAGATGATGCCTTCACCGTTCACTTGTGGTAAACATCTATGGGCGTGGACTGTGTTTCGAGCCAGAAGGAGAACGTGACGAAGGTGATCGGATTGATATGATGCAAGGGACCGGCCACATTGGTATGAAACCAACGAACTCCAAGGATCCGGCAAACTAAGTGGAATCCAGGCTCGAGCTAAGCTACAAATGAGAAGCAAGTTTTAGGGTTTCTTTTGAAAGGCCACTTTCATTGGCACATACGAATGTACCCATCACAGTGTTGTCTTTGGAAAAGCACTCCACGGATAGCAGTTGCAAAGACGGACTACAGTGGCCCTATAGCTAAGTAGTGAACTAATGGTAAGCAACCCACCTGTTTTGACAACGTCCGGCAAGTAGCAGATAAGTGCCTCGAATGGTACTGACCAATGTTGTTCACCTGCAGTTATCATATTATCAAACACACAGCTATCTTTTATTGCATTCCCATCAACATATTATCCTTCTTATTTATAAAGCAGTAACTTGGTGTGTCGGTTTGTAGGTTTGTAGGTTTGTCGGTTTGTCGGTTTGTATGTCTGTCCGTCCGAGAAGTATGATTACGATAAAGGTAGTGATA